AAAAAAAAAAAAAAGCAATTGTGCATACAAACTAAATGAATAAATACATTTGTCATTATAATAAAAGTTAATTTACCTATTAATATTAATAAAAAATAGAATTATTTAAATTAATCTAACTACAAAATTGTTAATTGATATAATTGAAAAATTATTATAATATAAGATGGTAAACCTATAATGATGAGTCTCATTTTAAATATAAAATTATAATATAGATTCAAAATAATATTTGAAGCTTAAATCAATTTTTGTATTATTATTATTTTATAAACAAACACCCGTATAATACACATACGTGTACTATACTAGTCAAACTTTAATTCATTAGTCATTCACTCAATTTTAATTAATCACCACCTTACATTATCTCTCTCATATTTTTACATTAATAAGCTTTAATTGTTTTATTTTTATTTTATTTTAAATATTTTTAATATAAATTTAAAATCACATTAACAACTAATTATATTATATTTTTTTAAAATTAACCTTAATTAACTAAAAAAATTCGTTTTGAACCCATATACTTGTATCAAAACAAGAGGGTAAACTCCCTCTACTGCGTTGACAGGAAGTGGCCCACACGCGCGTGTTAAGTTGTACATCTGTCAATTTTCACGAACCCATAATTCATAAACAGAACATCCAAATTTCAACACAGTTAGCATTGTCCCTCTATATGCCAATTCCCGTCTCTCTCACTCGCTCTCACGCACGTGCATTTCCTTATCTTTTCGGATTAGTCAATGTCTCTTCTCAATTCATCACAACTTGTGATTTAAACGGTCTGTCTTGTCCCTCGACTTAATCTAATATTTCATTCACAATATAATTTATTTGTTATATATATATATATTAAATACTCCACCATTTTGAGAATACTATTTTTAGAAATAATAATAATAATAATAATAAAAAATATATGAAACACAATATTTAGGAAAAAAGAAAAAGTTTGTTCTGCCGACCCGACGACTTCATTTTTTCTTTTTTGAAATAATAAAAAATGTAGATTAAATTGTAGTCACATCCGACCCTCCAATTTTGGCTACACATGGCCCCCGGGCCGACTCGACCCGTCGTCCCAGTCTCGACCCGGCCCGCGATTCGCCCGTATGTTGCTGATTCGAGAACTGGCACCGTGACTTTACGGTCGTTTTTGGGTCCCTTTTTTTTTTGTTCCCGGTCCAGGACAGGGCCGGGTCGACGGACACGGTCCTTGGTTTTTGGCGGGTCGGTCAAGGGTCACTCATGGGAGGCCCGCCAGCCCGGCCCGTTGACTGGCTATGTCTAATTTTGGCTCAAAAACCTGGTCAACGGG